CCAATATTAAATATAAAAGTCACTGTTAAATATGAAAACTAATAAGAAATATAAAGCTAATAAAAGATATAAAACAAATATTTACAAAGACAATAAACTAAGCTTCAAGAAAAAGAAAATATAATTAAAATAAAGAGTTTTATTTTATACTCTTATATATAATAATATTATTACATTTACATTAAAGTTTACTTTTTTTTTATTATAAATTAGATTTTAAAAATCTTATATTAAATTACAACTGATTTATATCAAATGATTAATTAAAAGATAAAATATGTTATATAAAAATTAGTATCTGATATGTGTCAAATTAGATTCAATATAAGAATATATCTGATACACAATATATATATTGTTTTATAATAGAATATATAAATTATTAACTGTTGTAAGCTGTTTAATGAAGAGTATTTTGTTATTTCAAAGATTATTAATTAAAGAATAAGAAATATTAGATAGAATAATATTATATATTATTTTTGTAAATATAGAAATATTAACTAATAGTAAATTTAATAAGTTGTTAAATAAAAGATAAATGTTAAAATTATTTAAAAATTAAAGTTAAAAGATAAATGAAAAATTTTTTGTTTTAGTAAAAATTTGAAAAATTATTTAAAAAAAAGAAAGGTTGTTATATTTTAGTTAGCTAATTTTTAATTCTGGCCACACCAATATGTTTGAAAAAAGAAATATTATAAAAAATATATTCAATTATAAATATTACTATTTTTTAAATTAGATGTTGAAAAGTTGAAAGTTTAAATAATAATGAGTTAGTAAGAAGAATATTAGATATGTTTTTAGTAAAATGAAGTATTATTATTGTTATAATAAAAAGTAAACATAAAAGTTTTTGTTATTATATTTTTGAAATTAATAAGATTTGTAAAAAATATTTTAAAGATAGTTGTAATATTATATTAAAAAGAGTAAAATTTGTTTAGATATGAGTTTTTTAAATTTGATTAAAGCAAGGAAGCAATTTAATTTTATTTTATAGCATTTCAAATATTAGCTTAGTTGAACTATTATTATTAAAATAAATATTAAAATATCATATAGTTTTATAAGGTTTGTATAAAGATATTATTTAATTATTATAATAAAAAGTTGGTATAGTAAAGTTTAGTTTGTTTATATTTTTAGAAATATGTAAACTGTTAAATTGTTTGAATTAATTTTAATATTATTTAAATTGTAAAGTTGTTGAGTGTTATTAAAAATAAATTAAAGAGATTCAGAACTTTTATTATGTCAAATAGTGTCATTTATAAAGGCTATAAGAGGTATTATTATAGAAGATAATAAGATATTTGAAATAATATTAAGAGATAAAAAAGAAGTAATTTTGAGTAAATAGTTGTTATACTTATTATAAATAAATGTAAGAATAGAATTATAGTAAATTTTTTAAAATAAAGATAAATAAGTTTCATCTTATTTAATTTTTGATTTAATATAAACAGATAATGTAAAACTATATATAGTAATAATTTTTACTTGATGATTTGTATAAAGTTTAATAATAAGTTAAATTTCTTTTAAAGAAATTTCAATTTTTTTACAAGTATCTTGTAGTTAGAATATGTTAATTTTATTAAAAATTTGAATATGTTTTGAAATATTATTCATGTTTTTTATTAAAATGTTTGTAATATTTAATAACATTATTAAAAATTTGAATAAAAATATATGTTAATGAATTTTTGGTAGTTGTAAAGTTAAGATTAGAAAATAAACTGTTAAAATTAATAATATTATTGAGTCTTTGTATAAAAATTTTTGTAAAACATATTTTTATAAGTTTTATAATTAAGATAGAATGAACTTGATTAAGTATAAAGCTCTATAAAATTTTTTTGAAATAAGAAAGATATTAGATATTTTCTAATCTAATAAAATTTTTTAAAGTTACAAGTATTTATTAATAAATAGTTTGAAAAAGATTTGATCAGAAAAAATCAATATATTTAATGTATTCATAGTTAATTTTAAAGAGATTTAGCAGTTTTAGAAAATAAGATTTTGAATAGTGTTTTGTTATTCATTATCAGAAATATTAGTAAATAAATTCTAATAATGTGATTCAAGTTTAGAACAAGATTAATAAAGTTCATAATATTTAGAACTAGTCTAAATTTGTTAAAAAGATTTTTTATTAAAGTATTTAGAAAAATAAGTATAAATAGCTTGTTTAATTTAATTTTTTTTTATTAGTAAGGAGTTATAGTTTAGTAATCTATTAATATGAATACTATTGTATTTTTCAAAAATATTTTTAAAGAATTTTTTTGGTTATAAATAAAATAGTTGATTATAATCTTTAATTTTTTGTTGAATTTCTTTTTAAGTTTGTTGTTAGTAATAAATATTAAGTACTAATTTAATTTGATAAATTTTTATTTAATTATAGTTTAAAAATTATTAAAAGTTTGAGATTGAGTAATAAGATTATTAGAATATTTAATATTATATTTGTTAAAATTATAAAAATTTAAAGATTGTATTTGTTTGTATTTATAATAGAGTAAATAATGTTTAAGTGTTTTGTTATATTTGATTTTATAAGTTGTTTTGATTTTTTTATAAGTATTTTTAATAATAGTTTTAAAAAGTACTTTAAGTATTTTGTTTTAAACAGATTAAGTTTATTTTAATTAATAATATTTGAAATTTAATTTGAAGTTGTTAAAAGCTTTAAGATGTTTAATTTAAATAATTGTCAAGATTTCCTTAAAATAATTTTTTTAAAGAAAGCTTTTTCTTATATATTGTTTAGTAGATTTTGGGTTGTTAATAGTTATAAATATTAAGAGTAATAATTTTATGATTAGATTCAGATAAAATATTCTTACAAATATTAATATAATTAATTTGAAATATGCTTAGATTTGTTTATATTTGATTAATTCTACTGTTTAAGATTGAGTAAATAATAATAAAGTTGTAAGTTAAAGTAAAAAAAAGTTGATATATATTTTTGAATTAATAACTAATTAGATATTTAAAAATTTAAGGTTCTGAAATAGAGGTGTTTTAAAAAAGATTTCTTTTCAAACATGAATTAGAAATATTATTAAAATTATTAAATATTATTGATTAATAGTTGAAGTTATTGTAAAGTTAAATAATTTGTTCTTGGATTTCAGAATATAGTTATTTTTTTTTATTGTTAAAAGATAAATTTGAAGAATACAAATAGAATTATATTTAAAGCATAAGTTAAAACCAATTATATGATTATTATATGTAATAGTATATTCTAGTTATATATTTAAAAATTTTGTTATATATAAAAATTTTAACATCTGCTTAATATAGATTTTTATAAGAAATTCAAAAGCTGTTGTAGTTTTGAAGGTCTTTGTTAATATATATATTTTTTTTTTAAAAAAATAAAATATGTTTTAAATAATTCAAAGATATCAAAATTATATTAGTTGATAATGTTAATAAGTGAGATTTTTTTAAATATTAAAGTAAATTATTAATGTTTAGAAAACTAATTTTTATAAAAATCAAAATAATAGATAAGAGATATTTGTAAAAAAAAATATTATTAGTAGTTATAGAAATAGAGTTATATGAATTAAAAGAAATAAAATTTAAATTATTATTATTATTTATATTAAAAAAATTAATATTAAAGAGAATATAAAGAGTTAAGTATTGAGAATGTGATTTAATAAAAAATTATTATATAAATAATAATATAAATTTGGAAGGTATATGCAATTAGATAGAAGTTTATGATTTAAATTTTTATAAATATGTGTTTTAATAAGTATACTATTGATAGATATTTTTTTATTTATTTATTTTTTTTTATAATGCCAAATCATAATTTATACTTTATTTAGTTTTTGTATTACTATTATATATAGGTTTTTTTTTTCAGTATTAAGGTGACCTCTTTGGTCTGAGCTTTTTATTAATACTTATAGCAGATACATGTTTATATAGACATATCTATAATAAACTATTAGATGAGTATACAGCTGGCTACACATGTAACTTTTCTATATTACCTATTTAAGGAGTCCACCCAAGGGTTCCTCACCAGTTGCTATACCTAACACTCCTGCTTAGGTGTTCTATTTAAACCCTCTAATCTAACTCTAATATTAATTTCACCAGGTTATAGACTCAGATCTATTTATTATTAACCATAGGACTATAATCCTTAGACTATTTTTATTCTTAAGGTAAACTTACCAGAGCAAGCTATATTTTCTTTTACTACTAATCTGGTTTGATGCTATGACTAAGACCAACACTTGCAGTCAGAGTTATCCCTTAAACTGCTATTACTCTTGTAAAGTTCACTCAAATCCTGGTACCATCTTTTCAACTTCTTCTTCATCATCCCCTACTAACCACAACTCAGAACTAACTGACTCTCCAGACTTCCAATCCAGATGGCCTGGTATGGTATACTTATGTATCCTTTTCTTCCAGCAATTTCAGTAGCCTGGTTGGTCATATGCTCCTCTACACATCTTTGTCATCTGGTTTATCCAGCAGTTTCTATAAAGGTGTTTCATGGGCTTCCATCAGTCCAATGGCACCATTGAAAGTTTGTGCTATCTCTTTACTCAGAATTTTTCAAATGAGTTTTCATCTTTTTAGTTTTTTAGCCTTTTACACCTGGTGGTCTTATCATGGGTTTGCTTGAAGCCTTATATAACACTGGTTTTATATTCCTCTATGTACATGTACTATATAATATTACACTTCACATAGATGCCTTAAGCTTCTAATATCAGATGGGACCCAACTTGGTATACCTAAGATTACAGATGTCCAAAACCCAATCGATCGGCAAGAGACAGTTATCATAACATAGGTATAATTTCCAAAATTCGTCATCCATAGGAATTGAATCTTAGACCTGCCACTTGAGAGTTAACAACCTATCCACTTCACTAGGTTGCTGCACCCTACTATTATATATAGTTATATTACATTTGTACTACTAAAATTTATTTTTGTTTCTAGACACTCAACATGACATTATACCTATATTTTCTTATATATGTATTTCAATTATTGTTACTAAACTACCAAAAAGGCTGTAGATCACCTTGTTATATCTCTAATTTCTTCTACTTTTCTTACCTGGCAGCCTCTCTGTCTACTATTTGCAGTAACTTATCTTTCTTTCAAATTGGTTGACTTTGACAGTTTCTTGTTCTTCTTACTATTAGTTTGGTTTACATAGCCTAATTTACTTTCTAGTAATCTGGTGACATAGCTAGATTTATCAAGATCTGAATTATCAATCTGCAGTTTACTATGTACTCTTTTCAGATATACTTCTATAGTTGGTTTAGTTTGTTACTTGATCGCATATGCTTTCTGCAGACTTTTCGGTAGGTGTACTGCTAACTATGTACTAATATACTACCAGCTTGGTGTTGCAAGAAGGTCTAGAATCTTGACTTATTATGCATAAGTATAATGCTTATTATCTAAGTTGTAATGTACAACTGCTTAGAAAATACTTTTCATATTACTTTTAGAGGTATCTGCTTAAGATGTTCCAATTTTGGTTAGACTAATTCTTTGCTACAAATCATTTCTGCATGCACTATATTGCTTATTACTCAAGTTTAGTTATATAGTATTATTCTTTCAATTAAGTACTCTATAAGTTGAATACAAAGATGTTAATGTTGCTTCATTTTTTTGGAACTTATATGTATAATATTATTGTAGCCAAATCTTCTGTAACACTGCTGTCACACATAGTGCCTTTATTCTACAGGGTTGGTCTTCTTTTAGGAATTCTTAATTCATTCTTGTACTTTATCTTGAGACTTTTCATAAGGCTCTGTATTCAATTTTGGTTTCTTATAGATTACAGAGTTAAATCCTAAGATTTTGCCTTTAGCTTAACTTAAATCATTAACTTTGTCTGTAGAGAATTAGCAGCTTTACCATTAAGCTATAGGACTCAATTCTCTTGATAGAGATTTTAAAAAGTTTGTTGAAGAAGTTATTTTTTAAATATTGAATAAAAGTTAGTAATGTTTGTTTAGATAGTAAAATTAAAAGATTATGATTAATTAAGAAGATATTATAGCAGAGTAGATTCTTGGAGTTAGATAAAGAATTAAATTTAATGAGATATAAGATGTTTTTGCAAAAATTACTTACTATTTTAAGCTTAGTTTATACAGCTGTAAAAAATACTATCATCTTTTTAATATGTTAAATCTGATCATTATTAATCCAGGTTTTTGTATATATTTATTTTTTTAATTTTTATATAATTTATTTATTTATTAATTTTTATACATTTTATTTATTTTTTTAATTTAAATAAATTTTTTTATATATAAATTAACTTTATATCTATTATATTTCTGAATTATATCTAAATATTAAAATTAAATCAAAAATAATAGTTATAATAAATATTAACTATTATAATATATCAATTACAGACTTTGATATAATTATATAATCTTTTAATATAATTACTTATTTCTAAGTTTTTATACTTATAGATATTCTTTGTAAAAATTTTAATTTGAAAAAAGAAATCTTAAATAGATAATATATATAAATAAGAATTTTTAAATAAAAAAGATCTACTAACCTAACTACTAGTTGATCTAAGTATGAAATCATATTATATAAAACTTATTAGATTAATAATATAGAAAGACTTGCAAAAATAAACAAGACATTAATGAGAATATAAAGAGAAATACTAGAATTTTAATTGTAAATATTGATCTTAATTATAATAATACTGAGTCAACTATAGATAAAAATACAGAAGACTCCAAAAGGTTTATTTTAAAGATAAATTAATTTTAAAGTTAAGATAAGAATCTAAACATAGGTACTTCTATAATTCAAAAAGTTGATACAGAGATGCAGAATCAGAAGGTTTAAAATAAAATATCCAAGCAGAGATGTTAGATATAACAATTGGTAAGAAACCTTCAGACAGACTTCTTAAATAGGTAATATAAAAAAATTACATGTGTAAGCAATTGTACACTCTTTTTGTAGTAGTTCCATGTGAACATGCTACCCAAATAAGTGTTAATAAAATCAAAAGACCAAAGAAGTCACCTTAATACTAAAAAACAACAAAAAACAATGCATTTATTTTAAGTAAAACTAATAATATTGTTTATTTTGACATTTTTTATATCATTTTTTTATAGTTTAATTTTTTTGTTATTGTTAATCAATAGATTATTAGAAAGAATTCAAAAATTAGCTGAGCATAATTATTCGGTTTGTACTATTTATATATTATTTTTTATTATATATATATATATTTACAAAATGATATAAGTTTATTATTACTTCATTGTAAGATAATGTTATTTCCGACTAGATTATATAAATTTATTATAGAGGGCAGATAAGATTGAACTTAAAGGTTTAGTTATAGTATATGCAGTCGTATCTGTATATATAAAGCAACAAACTTAATAAAGTATTAGTGTGATTGCTTACGATAAAAAAAAAAAATAAATATTTACCAAATTTTAAATAAATTTTCCAAAATCCAGTTTAAAAAAATACAATACTATTTATTTAGCTATTTTTAAAAAATCGTAAAATCTTTTCTAACAAGTATAATAATCAATTATTTATTAATAATACGTTATTTTGCAAAGTTAATAAACCAAAATTTTTTGTAAAAAAAAATAGCATTTTTTAAGCTAAAATAAGCATATATTTTTATATCATTTCAAAAGCCAAAAGTTGGTAAAATGAAGTTATCGTTGTTAAAGTATTAACTAGACAAGTTCTTTTGGTAGTTATAAATTTAATAAATATTTGTGACAAATTGAATGTTAAATTGTTTTCGAAACTTTAATTGACTATATAAATTGGAACAAAAAGTACATTAATTTCAATTCACAAAATCCACCTACTGTTTAGTATTAAGAATAATGAAATAGAAGCAAAAAAATTAAATAATGTGAATAAAATTAACATTGGTAATAATTTTACAAAAAAATCCGGTTTTTATGACATGAATTAAGTGTATTTAAAATTCCAAATGATTATGAAAGTTTAAAGTTCGAAATAACCAGGAAAAAAAACCCACTCATGGTATGCCATTCGAAAAGTATCATTCATTATTCACAATATATTAAATTTAGTTAAATTCAATGTAAACTGTATGAATTAATAATATTAAATCTCCGATTTTAATTATTAAAGGCACGGGTATCGACCCGACATTAATGCATAACATATATAAAAGTAATGAGTTAGTAATTATGAACGATTTTGGTTAATAATGGGGAATAAAAATAAAAAGTTATGCCAGTGAGCTTGGAGGTTTAATGTAATGTAATGCAATAAGTTAATATTAGATACATTTATTTCCGTTTCTGTTAACTAACCTTTAATAATTAAAATTAATCAACTACAACATTAAGTGATTTCTAAATCGGATTTGAAAGGATTATTATCGCGTCTTTCAATTAATGTCGCATAAATTTTTAATAAACAAAATTAATCGATCTCTGGGAGAACTTGTTTAATTGGTTTTACAGTTTCATCCGTGTGAGTATGTCTTTCAAAAATGACCTATTTTAGGTATTGGAGAAGTTTTTTTTTAGAGATGAACTTTCTATTTTAATCATATATATTATTAATACTAAATCACGTGCTTTGTAAGCTCATTTTTTGAATGATAATTATTGCCAAGATGCATTCGTAAGATCATGTTTAATTGCATATTATTATTAACATGATTCATTGCGAGAGTACACGTGTTGCATAATGGTACTTCGAGATGATCTTTTAACAGTGGTATGTATAGCATGTAGTATAGTATGTAGGTATGTACTGTACATACATATGTACATACGAACAGACTTTGAAAATCGCAGTTAATTTTTGTTAAGAGTTAGTACTGTAACGTAAAATAGTCTCCACCTAAATAAATTAGTCTCCACTTAAATAAATTAGTCTCCACTTAAATGAATTAGTCTCTAGTTAAATAAATTAGTCTCTAGTTAAATAAATTAGTCTGGTTAAATAAATTTAGCGTTAGTTTCACAAATAAGAATTTCCGTAATCGTCGTTATACAGTCTTGAATCATGATCGTTTGCTTCACCTAACATTCATTGAAGCAGAGTTTATACATTTTTATAGTTTGGAAGTTTATCCAAGGCAAGATAAAGATGTTGTTAAGTTTTGTAATGGGGAAAACCAATCCCGACAAAAGGAAAGGGATATCCGTGTTATATCTTTATACTTTATTAAATTAAAGTGTCTCTTTATTCACACTTCCTTTTTATTTGAATATGATCGAAAATGGGACACTTTGTTACATATTACTAATCGACTATTGGTTCATTTACAGATTACTTAATAACATTACATTAATGCAAGCATGAATGTTATATAATTTACTTTAAAAAATCTGACCTCGTGAAGAATACGGAGCACCTTTTTCCGTAAGACCACTTTAGGAATGAAAACTAAAATAAGTCAGGCTGCATTACCAATTTACTTTCTTTACAATATTAACTACATGAAAAAAAAACGTTGAACACCAAATATAAATAGTTACATCAATTTGTTATATAAAAACACAATTTTTCTTAGCAGGTCTGAAGCTCTAAAAAAGATGGAGAGTAATCAAGAAATTCATAATGAATTCGAAATTAACGTGCCATACCCTTATTCTATTGACCCGATGGATTTCTTATCACGAAAAGGAAAACGGGGTAAAAAACCATCCAAGTCATCAAATGCTTTTATGATTTACCGTAAAATGTTTTCTAAGGAATTAAGGAAGAAAAATCATAAAATACCGCAATCTAAAATTTCCGGCATGGCTTCAACTTCATGGAAAAATGAATCTAAAGATATTAAAGATGCTTATCATAAACTTGCTGGAGATGTAGATCGTTTATTTCTGGAAGCATATAAAGATAATAATTCTGTTGAAAATCCAATTGAACCGGTAAACGAAATTATCGAATCACCATCATTGACGTTGATCCCAAATCCTCAAATTACTTCGGCCGAAAATATTCTAGGTCATAACATTTGGAATAATAATAACTTATACATAAGTGCTCCATATTATTTGCCCGTTTATGAATATCAATTTACTTATGATGTTACTAGTATGACATATTATATTACGTCAATTGATGATAACGATAACTGATAACGAAAATTACATATGTATATCAATATAAATATTTATATAGCAATAAGTGTACCTTAATGGGAATGTTATTATGTTTGCTTAATGTAGGGTTATTCAATAACAGTAACGGTAGTGATAATAAGTTTCATCAAATAAGAAATTAAGACTTAAAATGGCAATAAAATCTTACGATTCGTGAAACATGTAACAATAAATTTGTAATGAAATAAATTTGTAACGATTAGGCATAATAAAAAAGGCACTACCGTAACGGAAAAATTTATCCGATGCATAATTGCATGGTTCAAAATGTCTCCATTGTTATATTATCAATAAATCAAATTGTAATTGGCATGTGAAATCGTGAAAAAAAAAGTTCCAAACTCATCATCTTAACTAGTTCTCAACTAGTTCTCAACTAGTTGCGGAGAAAAATCTGGCATTTCAAACAATAATATATTTTTTCATAGCAGAAACATTAAAATGGGCTTTTATCTAAAATATTCAAAGGTTTCTGTGGAGGCTGCAAGTTTACAGTGATTTCCATTGCATAAATAAAAGAAGAGAATTTAATCTGAGATTTAATCTCTGTATCGTGGTTCAATTCGGACCTTGTAATTTTGGGATTATTTTATCATTATTAAAGATAACAGTGTGTAGTTCTTTTGCTTTACTTTTATTTTACCGGTGATTATTTCAACTTGTAAATTTTGGTTTACTTAATTAGTTTTAAATGAGCTTACCAGAAAACTAACTTATAACCAACCTAGCGGTGAAATCAGGATCTCGATTCAGAGACAGCTATTTTAAATTTCTGAATTAGATGTTCTGAGAATAGTTATAAACTCATTATTGCATTGAATGTAATTAAATTGCAGATGAAGTGATTTGTCAGCAAATTGTAAAAGTCATTTTCTCATAAAGTGACAAGGACGTGTATCATTCAACACCTCTCTTTTTGGAGAAATGTTTTTAGCCATCTCTCTATTTGACAACATTTTAATGCACAGAACTTAATTTTAATTTTTTTTAATCTCGAAACCTCATCTCCATTTGCTCCAATTGGACTTTTATCTCGAAACCTCATCTCCATTTGCTCCATTTGGACTTTTCAATCTCGAAACCTCATCTTCATTTGCTCTATTTGGACTTGCTGTGCAAATTAAAATATGCAATTACAAATGTGTGATTAATATCATAAGGTTACATAATTGCGATAAGCAACGTTTTAAACTCCTTATATATGTTATCACCCTTTCCATGACCATCTTATGACCATAATGTAATAAAACCTAGAAGCTTTTAATTCCTGACTCGGATAACAAAACATCTTATTTATAAATTCATGCTTATGCACTTAAATTTATGTATGCCACAATCTCGTCATGTAACGCATTAAATATAAGAAACTTATTGAGGCTTACATCTTATTTTCTTTATTTTTTTTTTACTGTTGTGATCTTTAACTTATATTAAACGTCAAATTGCGTACAGTTCACTTTCTTCTCATCTTTCCTAATTTCGATTACAAAATCGAAATAAAATATTTTTTAAAGTTTATCCGAATTTGGATTACAGGCGAACTCTTCAATAAAGACTATCGTTTTCGATCTTGATAATAAGAAATTTTTTTGGAAATCGCACGTGACTCTGTAGTACCATTTTCTTTGAAAGGTAATTACGATTGTTAACCTCGAAATAATCAAATAATAGCCATTATTTTCATAAACAGTAAGATCATTGGTGACACCATTCTATTCAGCATGCAGTAAGCTATTGTGGCATTCGTCTTGATCAAGAATAGCAATAAATAAATGTTGAATATTTATATACGTACATATGTACGCATGTATGTACGTATGTACAGTACATATATACAGTCAAACCTCTTTATAGTCACTCTGTCTCATAAAAATTATCTTAATATCTATTTTAAAATCAACTACATCAACTACTATAAACATTTAGAAAAAAAAACCACTCTCTATATGTGTAAACTCTATATAATTAAAGATGCTGGTGAAATTAAACCAGAATAGTAAATTAATTCATCATTATTGTGTGAAATAGGTATTGAATAGGTGAATTTTGATGAAATTATGAATCTCTTATATTATAATAGGTAATAGGTGATTCTTCTTTGTAATCAATTGATTAATAATATATTTAATTAAAGGGATCATCTATACTGCAAGAGATCCGTAATTAACTTCTATTTGTGTAAGCACAATTTCAAAAAAAAAAAAAATTTACTAGTATCCTGATGGTAATAATTATGAACATAGTAAGATTACATTAACAAGAGCCCTTATTATACGCAATGCTGCCTTATTCATTAATTGTCACATATAATATTTTTATTACATAATTTATTACACAGCGTTATAAAATGAATATCACAGCCAAGTCGTTTAACAACATTAATAAGATGTAACAATGTGTTATCATAAAGTCTACACTGTAATATCATACTATCATGATATTACTAACCAAATGGCAAGTCGTTTAACAACATTAATAAGATGTAACAATGTGTTATCATAAAATCTACACTGTATTATCATACTATCATGATATTACTTAGTTATTACTCCTACATAAAAAGTTACACCAAGTCAAACTCAGCCCTTGATCAGAGGCATATAATTACGTATATTATATGTCACCGGTCAGGGCTGGGTCTGGTAATTAATAAGTAATGAACTTAAAACCCAATGCCCGGTTTTCCCTCTGCGCCACTCATATAAAGCGTAATTAGTAACATAAATAAATCTTATAGGCAGAAGTTTGTCTGATTGGCTAATAAATTCAATTTAATTTTACATTATTTATACAGTTTAGAGTACTTT